GGGGGGACAACTTTACCTAAAGTACAAAGTCTGACTTACCAATGACAAGGTCATAACTTTCCTATAAACAGTAACTAAAGACCATTTAATAAAAAAATATATTTGATTACTGGAATGTTTCTTACCCTAGGTCACCCAAATCACAAGGACAACCCCACTAAAGAGACACGTTCGTATTTTTGAAAAGAGCGAATTTTCCCTTTCTTGTAGCAGCAGCTGTTTGTGCGCATGCGTGTGTGACAATATACGTACATATTCGTATGTGTATACAGATGTTCACTGAATTATGACACCGTGTAGTTCCGTTGGTGCTTCACCAACATTTCGGATGAATCTTCGACGTCCATCTCCATGATACAAATATTCTTCCGAAAGGCCATTCCGAAACATTTACATTATCTGCCACAATGCAAGGTGTCCGTTCATTTAACTGTGACTTCTTCAGCGGCTCTGTCTGTGTTTCGGATCATGTAGCTCCGAATGATAACGTGATTAGTGAATGATGAATTGAAAAGGATATGGAAGAAGGCTGTCATGGACTAGTCTGTGGTACCATCGTGGATTTACAAGGCGGGACTGTGGAAGAGGCGAAAACATCGGCCAGCAGAGTCAGTTCAAGATAATTAAAATTCGATAGGCCTATTGCTTTAATTGGTCATCGACACAACTTCAAAAGTAACTCATGTTTATTTAAAACCGCCATGTGTTTCGGCCTCACGGGTTATCATCAACTGATCAACTGATACATCGCCAATTACTTCATTATCAATGTTTCAGAGGGATCCTCCGGAGAAACAATTTTTCCCTGGAGATGGAGGCAGCAGATTCATCCGTAACGTTGGTAAACCATCCATGAAACAATACAGTGTCATTATCCAATATACTTCTATATACGTGAGCACCTATATCAAAATTAACAGGATCAATTAAAACATTTGTTTAAATGTACGTGTCCTAGCCTCACCGCAGAATTTACTTTATAAATTCAAAGTTTGTTTACATTTGTGAGAGTTGCAGTATGTGCCACCGTACTGACGGTACCAGTAACAACGCAGAACATGAAACGCATCCACTCCCAGTACTGATACTGTAGCAAGAATTAGTAAGAAATACTTCGTTGGAACCCAAAGACGATGTCGCAATTCGCCAGATCGAATGGGAGCGTTTTGTTAGAAAAATCCGTTTTCCATGCATGAACTTAAAAAATAGCACCCCGATCAGTCCCAAGGAATGTGATGTGTGTCTCCTGTCTGAAATGTAAGTGCACTCATCAATTCGATCAAGGGCGTACAAGCAGACGTTCGGAACTAAGTCGAGAGACCGAAGATGCGGTAATTCCTTTGTTCAGAGCCGGACAACGCAAGATACTGCAAGTCCCACACTTCTCAGACATGCAAATGGCCACCCATTTATCATTCCTCTGTACTTTATTTAATGACGCTGTCAGTAGCTCAAAATACGTAACGTCGATTGGCAGAGTAATTAGCAAGAAACGAATTGTAAAAGACGTAGGAGCAAGCTGTCGTCGGTCGATTTGGGGGCGATATCACGTCATTGTCCACTTGGACTGACAGAAATCACGGGAATTGTAGTCAATGTATCAGGTACTGGGACTGAATCCTGGACCTCCTTTAATTTGGAACAGGGAACCAATCTTCATTAAAAAAAATAAAGTAATTATCTCGAATAAATTAAATACATAAGCAGCCTAAGAAAACAATTCACACACAATTGTGGTCTGTATGGGAAACGAAGCTAATTTTGCAATAGGGCCACTTCCACAGTAACTAAAACTTTATTGGAACATATGTTCAGACCGTGCAAATGAGTAATTTGACGTTACTGACTCTAAAGCTTGACACATCCTTAATGTAAAAATAATGTGTTGATGCTTAGTACACCAAGGAGAAATTCGCTGACTTATAGAGCAATTGCAGCCAATATTATTCTTTCTTTCAATAATTTTAAAATGGTATGCTAAATATGCTTTTATGTGTTGGTGGGTTATAATTCTTTTTATGACTCAATCTAATAGAGTATTATTTTTATCATCATACTCCAATTTTCATCCCTCATTGCACATAGTAATCACTACGGTGTTTAGATTTTGAAGTAAGATCCTGAGCTTAGAAGGCCGCGCCATCGCTCAAGCGGTTAGTCGCTGGCTTCCCACCGCGGCGGCCCGGGTTCGATCCCGCGTCTGGTCAAGTGGGATTTGTGGTGGACAAAGTGGAGCTGGGGCAGGTTTTCTCCGAGTGCTTCAGTTTCCCCTGCCAATCTTCATTCCACCAATTGTTCCACAATCACCCCCACCTATCATCTTGGGCTGGTACAATAGGCCAGAAGCGGCCGCAGTACAAGGGACTTAGTCCCACCCCACTAGCATTAAAAAAATATCCTGAGCTTTCTTAGTTAGATGTTTCAACGATTGCAAAAAAAAAATTGCAACAGAAAACAAGCTTTGCTGACAAATATTGAAATCTAAGCATTAAATTCGCTACACTATGCCATCCGTTGGTCCCCAGCGATATACAGAGTGCAACTGAAAGGCGTGGACAAGTATTTTATGCGTTTTCCATGTACCAAAACAAGAAAATTATCTCTATCAGCACGTGTCTGGGAACATTTAATTTTTGAGTTACAGATGAAAGAGTTATTTGTACTTAAAGCTCAAACTATCCGCCATGAGATTCAACGCATGTCTGGATACTTCTCATTATGGACCGCAGCATCCGCTCAAAGATATTGGGGAAGTTACAGATAGTCTGACAGGCATCCTCAATGCCTCTTCGTTGTTAAAAGGAGCTGCATACACAAAGGGGCTTTTAGGGGCCCCATAGGTAAAAATCCAGAGGAATTACAGGGTTTGTCCGAAAAGTAATGTCAGTGAGTCGATTAAAGAACTTTTATGGATTAGATCGGTGCAACACATTAAAAGGCTTCAAAATAGGCTTCTTCTGCGTCGATACATCGATTCCAGCGAGATTTCTAGGCATCGAAGGCGTCATGGCAGGCGTCCTCCGGAATGTCCTTCAGAGCCTTGGAGCAAGCCTCTTTGACTTCGTCAACTGTCCCAAAATGATGTCCTTTCATGGGAGTTTTCAAGCGCGGAAACAAAAAGAAGTCTGGGGAGCCACGTCAGGACTGTAGGGCGGCTGGGGAACCGTTGGCACCTTTGAATCGGTCAGGAAGCGGGTCACGAGGAAGGCGGTGTCGGCTGGCGCATTGTCATGGTGAAGTTTCCAATCGTCCGCGATGTCGGGCCGGATGCGATAAACCCTTCTTTTGGGTCTCTTTAGCACTTCCACGTAGAATTTGGCGTTGATGGTTGTACCATGTAGTACAAACTCACATTTTCGTCGGTGGTGCTTGTTGATGGCCGTCCAGCGCGGGCTTCATCGCCGACCTATTCACGGCCTTCTAAAAAGGCCTTGTGCCACCGGTAGACCTGACATTTCGACAAACAATCGTCACCGAAGGCCGTCTTTATCATGGGAAAAGTTTCCACTGCAGACTTGCCAAGTTTCACACAAAACTTGATGGCAATCCTTTGTTCCAAGGAGCGCTGCATTGCGGCTTGCACGGGAGACAAAAACGAGTTTCACGGAAAAGCCTTTCGTCACTCTCAGGAAGTTCGGAGACGACTAAGCGACCGCGGGTTCATAAGCTGACTTCCCCCTCCACCGAGCCCAACCGGTCTGAGAGTGCTGCGACGTATAGTCACTTCACAATAAAATAACTGACATTACTTTTCGGACAAACCCTGTAAATCTGGTGACCCTGGAGGCCATGCAGTGGGTCCTCCTGCACCTAACCATCAGTCATAATACGTGTTGTGGAGAACATGTCGCACAGCACGGAGCACCATCATGCACGTACCACATTCGTGTTCTGACTGCCAGTGGAACACCTTCCAGTAGCTTTGACAAATCATGTAAGAGGAAATCTCGGTAGTGGTTGCCTGTAAGCCGGCGTGGAAAAACTTGCGGGCCAACCAACTAAACACCAACAATCTCTGCCTACATATTAATGTTGAACTGCTGCTGGTGTTTAGAATGAATTACATCATGAGAATTCTCTTCTGCCCACTGGTGCTGTTTGTGAATATGGATGATGCCATTTCAACTGAAACATGTCTGATATGTAAAGAGTACTGATGAAACAAAGAAAACCTCAGCACTTCGTTGAGCAAAACCTCGACAGTATTTCTCTCACGCTGGAAAATCAGCTTCAACTAACAAAATAAATATTTCCTTGCATGTGTTTATATGGATATTTTTTTCTTGTTTTGTTAGTGGAACTAGTGCCCAAAGGTTAGCTCATGTTACGAAGGTTGCCATCATGTCAGGGTAGAAGAGGAACCCGCATGAAAATGACGTGAAACCTGCAGTTGGACGGATTCTAGAGGACGGGTGGACTGTGCACAAGACTTCGAAGGGATACAAGGTTCCATCCCGAGTCCCTCTCTTAAGGAAAAGTACTCGTAGTTGATTTCAAATTCCACCCACAACATTCTAAAGAGAGAGCTGCTGGTTTCACGTCCAGTTCAGTAATGGTCGATGTTGAAAAGAAGGAATGCCATTTAACTTGAGCGAGGAAGGCGAGAATAAAATAGTTACATATACGTATAACTCATATCAAGCATAGTAGTTTGGAACTGCGTCCAACCGACGGAAGGCGATATGCATCTCGCATTGCATAGAAAAGTGGGGCAGGGAATAGGCCATCAAGTGTGTACCGAATTTTGTATATATTTTAGCTGTGACGGGACTAAAGAGCGGGTAAGTGCTCAGATAAGGATCTTGAAAAATCTGATATTTATGAGTGAATGAAAATTCCGTTATATTTAGAAAAATTTCGTCTTCTCGGATGTGGCGCCATATAGATTTTGTGTGATTGAATTATTGAATTGAATGATACATCCGGTTACTGAACTCAACAGTTTCAGAATGTACGGTTATAATTCTGATTTCGGTTGAGAAGGAAACTTGTTTTTTCAGAACCTGAGGAAGCTGAACGTTTCGTACCTGAGACACATGAACCCGAACGTGCTGATGGGCCTCGTGCCCTGCTTCAGCAAGTTAGTGAGTCTGAACCTCCGGATGACTCTTACTGTCGACCAGGTAAGGAAGAACAAGAAGGTCTGAGAAGGTCTTTGAGCTCTAATGTTTAAATTTACAGAGAGAGAGACTACGAGAACTTACCGTTACTAATGGTACAAATTAAAATTTACCTTCGCTTAATATTTCAGCTAATAAGTATACGCATATTCTAACACATGATATCTGTGCGATGTAACCTCAGGAGTTCGCGCAGGCGCCGTGTTCACAACTAGTGACAAATAAGGCAGTTCAAATACAATCTGTATATATAATGCTTATCCATTGCAAAACAAAACAAACTCCGTGGTTTTAGCCCGCAAGCGAACTATACCGACCGAGCGACCGCCGCTTGTCGGCGAAGTTAGTGCCAACTTTAGCGGGCAGAGGGTGTCGCGTGGTCAGCGCAACGAATCCCCACGGTCGTTAATTTCGGTTTTCTAGACAAAAGCCGCTATTTCCTTGAAATAGCTCCTCAGTTATCCTCACTCGGTTGAGTGGACCCCGTTCCAGACCCACTACTTCTCAGAAAATCTAGTAGCGCCGGGAATCGAACCCGGATCTCTGGATCTGTAGCCAGAAACTCTGACCCCAACACAACAGAGGCGGTCGATTATCCATTGCATAATAAGAATATTCTCCTCTGTGTATCAGTGAACACCGTCAAACAGAAAAGTACATGCAGACCTTGAATGATCGCAAAGTTCAAGTTTCACGTTCCTTCCTCCAAATGGTGTTCAAAGATGCATATATTTCAGAGGCACGCAAAATCACAGGAAGTTTTAGGGCCTGTGACATTCTCTTCTCAGAGTTCATTCCAACAGTGTTGATGTTATTTGTGATTAAAAATTCAGAATTATTACGAAGGTGACGTGGCATAGCATTACAGCAACAATAGTTTCTTAAAGCAAGCCACTAGAATGCCTCTCTCGGTATTCCTTGTCATTCATCGGTCACAACATGCTTATTTCATTGGATGCAATTTACTTCAACAAGAAACAGGTTTGTCTCAGTGACGAGGTGTCTCATTTGCACTTGGGTGTGGTCAATTTTCGACGGAAGAACCACCTATACTGACTGAAGTTCTTCGTGGTTTTCCTCATTTTCTAATTTAGATAAGTGTCAGGATGGCATTCCTATCGCAAAAGACCCACCAACCCTTCCTCCCACATTCCACTAATTTATCATTACTAATATTCTTCTGCTTGTTTTCTTCTAAGACATGACTCACCACCGCTGTGCAAGGCCTCAGCATTTGATACACGTGCAACATTAAAAATTATTTCTAATTTCGACAGGCCTCACCACAATTCACGCGGTTAGTCGCCACATCGTGGCGGCCCGGATTCCATTAGAGAGTAGCCCATGTGAGACTCACGACGGACAAAGTGTCCCTGAGACAGGGTTTTCTTGCACTGCTTTGGCAATTGTCACTTCAGTGCTTCATGCACACTTATCTTCAGAGGTTAATGTAAAAAGCCTTTTTATGCCTGCAGTACCAAGTCACTCTCTCCATAATTTCAATTTTAATGTAAAGGTAAACGTAAAGTTATCCCGCAGTTTAATTCATTAAGCACTACAGCATGAAGGGGGAACGCGGTAGCATAGTTGCTTGAGATATTATGCTACAAGCCGGAAGGTAGAGGGTTCCAGTCCCGATGAGGTCATTGGATTTTTCAATTCACCTAATCCTTCCAGCCTCACTATGACCTTGGGGTTGACTCAGCCTCTAACAGACACGAGTACCAGGAATTTTCCTGGGGTTAAAGGGCGACAGGGCCGTAAGGCTGACAACCTCACCACCATCTGTGAGTCGACCGTCCAGATAATGTGGTAGCTTCGACGTCTTACAACCCTATGGGCCTTCATGGTCTGTTATAAAGATAGTTTTACCTTACTTTTTACTATACCATAAAGACTTATGGGGGAACTCAGCACTAGATGGAGCCCAGAGGACAGAACCCCGATAGAAGGCTGGGTGGGCTCCAGATATATTCAGGGGTGGAAACGAGAAAATCACTTGTCCCTGACGGGAATCTAAACCCGGCCATTCAGCCTGTAGCCTGTCCCTATACCCATCGTGCTATCCTATAACTGAGCTGTTCCACTCCGGATGTAATGAAACAAATCTTCAGCAATACAGTGCCGTTACGTAACTCCATGATCAACCACAAGGGCCGGGACAGGTCAATCGGTACAGTGGTGTAGATCAGTAATAACAAAACTGAACAGTTGCTAACAGATCTCTGCGTTTTGCGTTGCAGCTGCTGAGTCAGATCGGCTTGGCGTGTCCTAACCTACTGGAACTGAACCTGGCAGCGACACCCATCACGGACAAAGGATTAGTGCAGCTGTGTGTCGCAGAGGACGGTCATCGGCTGTGTCAGAACCTGCGTCGCCTCGTCGTGGCAGACACAGCAGTCACGACTGCCGGAGTCACTGTGGTGCTCCAGTCTCTGCCCAACCTACGGGAATTCGATTACGATCACATATTTGATGTAGGCCTAAGTGCAGCCTGGTAAAGCAGACAATACTCATGCCTTGCGCTTCGCACAGAAGCAAGAAGCGGCGCGATATATCCTGCACAACTTCCTATCCCTTGAACATGTCAAAGAAATAGTGTTAGAAATTTTGCCGCCTATATTGTGTATCTAACGATAACACATATGTCGGTAAAGCTCCTATCTTGTGTTCTGGGTCTATCCGGTTCTACTCTAGGCAGGGGCACCAGCTCAGCTAACAAACTTACGCACTTAATGGAGCAGGGGCCTTCTTGAGAAAAAACAAGGAAAATAAACTGTCTATTTCTTTCTATATCATGTGATATCTAAGCTGTTCTTGACTAATCCGGTTATTCTGATAAAAAATGAGTCTAAAATTTGTAATAGGCACAAGTATCTTGTTACGTCTGCAAGATATAGACGTACGTACCACTCTATAGCAATTCAAAGTAATGGAGTTATTTTAATAAGAATCGTTTATTCACTAATTAAATATAATCTTATATCACTGCTGATAGAATCTATAAATAAAAAACTGTGAAGAAATATAAGAGTGAAGAAATCTGCGCTGTCATACAACATTACTGTGTCCCCATTTCGCATTAAAAAATCGGTTCTTTTATTGTGCTTTTCCCTTGATGACTGGTGTAATCGCTCGGCTAATCAAAGACTCGTCAGTTTTTTACGGAATCAGCTATCCTGAGTCAGATGAATTCAATCCACACGCTCCCTCCCTATTTGTTTAAGATTCATCTCAGCATTAACCTCTCGCTTAGATCTTCCAAGTGGCCTCCTCTTTTTAGGGCTCTCATCAAAGATATATGCATTGCTTACATACGCAATGCGTGCTGCATTCGCCGTCAATCTTCTCCTTGACTTCATGATCCTAGTAAAACTCTATGAATGTACAAATAATGAAGCTCTTCTTTATGCAACTTCTCCGACCTCCCGTTAGTTCTTCCCTCCCAGGTTACTGACGTATTTCGCAGTTGACTGAATGTGGTAGTTCCGTCGACATGTCGCAGCACACACTCAGTCGAATTACGTATGTTTCATTTTACTTGTATCTCAATATATATTTCGGCCTAATTTTCCATCATCAGGCTGACTTTACTTGAATTTTCCACTAGTCAGGGTTCCTGGCTACAGATCCAGAAATCCTTGGTTCGATTCCCGGTGCTACCAGATTTTCTGAGAAATAGTGGGTCTGGAACGGGGTCCATTCATCCTCGTGACGATAATTGAGGAGCTACTTGAATGGAAAAGTAGCGGCCCCTGTCTAGAAAACCGACATTAATGACCGTGGGGATTTGTTGCGCTGACCACGTGACACCCTCTATCCGCTGAAGTTGGCACTAACTTCGCAGACAAGCGGTGATCGCTCGGTCGGTATAGTTCGTTTGCGGACTAAAGCCACTGACTTTATTTTTATGCACTGACCAATGCTTGTATTTGAAAAGTTAGGCGAACTGGTGTTAATGGCTGTAGTTATTGTGATTAATATTTGTAGTAGACTTCAGCCTTTCCAGTCGAATGTCGGGAAAATTGAATTAAGAATTGTACAGTTTCGCGCGTCTCCTTCACTCTTTTCCCGTTATCACACACATTCGAGCAAAATTTTACTGGACGATAAGCAAGGACTGAAGTTGATACAGAATCTTTAATTTAGAGAAATATTTCGTTGATTGCAGCTACATTCTGAGAAAGACCATTAACTGTCCGTGGATACTGCTACATTTTGTATAATTCTTGAGAATTCGGTGACCCCCTTTACAGTAGTTCGCGAACCCGTAACTGTGAAATACACGTCTAAGATATGCCACGAAATGAGATAAACTGAATAGGTTTACCCTATATGATATCACTTACTTACTTATGGAGCTGAGCCCTTCTTGAGGAGAAGCCAAATCTTGAGCTATTCAAGAATTTTCCAGCATTTTATGGACCGCGAGGGTTCATTACAGTGTTCACAAGAGCCCTCCACTGGTCCTTATCCTGGGCCAGATCAATCCAATCCATACCAACCCATCCTATCTCTCTAAGATCCATTTTAATACTGTCTACCCACCTACGTCTTGGTCTTCCCAGTGGCTGTTTCCTTCTGGCTTTAACACTCTATATATGATATACCACCATAAAAATTTCGCACGTAAGCTGATGATAGATCATCAGTTATCATGCCGAATATTCCTCACAGTCATAAAAATTTTGTTGCCAATCCTCCAGAAAGCGCTGATATAAAATCCACAGCTTTCAAAAACAGACATTTGAACATTAACCGAATGGCTCTGCTGTTACTCTAACCTCATATGTTCGCGTAGCCATTATACGAGTACTCTATGCAGCATGGAGTTAAAATTATGCTAAGACGAAAAAACTCAAGTCCCATGCTTTCGTTCTTAATATCACGAAAGTTGGTGCGCATGGTGTGGATGTTGTAGCCGACCCAAACCAGGGCCACAACCTCTGCATCCACCGTCATCTCTGAGTACGGCAATCAGCGGTTTCGGTAAAGCAAGGTTTTATCTCAGGGAATATTTCGTGTGGAGTCTTAGTGGACGCAGTGTAGGTCAAGGAATTCTACAGATCAGGAGAAAACGAATTGAAGCAGTAGCTAACAGATTGTTATTTGATATACAAGTGATCAATCTATTAAGTTCACTGGCACTTATGTAATTAGTACACCACAACGTTCAGTTTTTATAATTGCAATAGATCATCACACGTGGTTTAACTCTACTAAAAGTACATATAGCAGTCTAAGGCATGCACTGTCTTCGCTCGCTCGGAAGCCGGGATCGTGGGTTCGAATCCCGCTCAGGGCGTGGATGTTTGTGTGTGTTTTTCTGTGTTTGTCTACAGGTAGAGGCCTTGCAACGAGCTGATCACTCGCCCAAGGAGTCCTACCGAATGTGTAGGATCTAGAAAAACCGAAGTGAACGGAGAAGTTCATGGAGGTAGGCCTAGGCCCACTGAGGCTGTAGTGCCAGGGGGAAAAAAAAGTACATATAAATGCTAGTGGTGCAGGTCGTAGAGGTACAATTGAGAGACGAAATATTAATGAAGTAGATGTACCAGTCGAAGTGAAATTAAGAGTCACGGGGCCCGAGAAGAAGTAGGATTACAAGTACGAATTTAAGTCGCAGTAGATGTAACAGAAGTCGCAGTGGAAGTAACCGATGAACTAATGGCGGAAGATTCGCCCTCGTTACCGAAAACACGGATTTAAATAAACAAGCAGGAGGGACTTGCTGAAATCTGTTTAAAAATTCCTTATTAGATCCGTGTTCGCTCCCAAATGCTTATAACAATCGGATTGTCTATTTTGATAAATGAATGAAAATTCTGATTAATCGGCGCCAGTACCCCCCCCCCCCAACNGTCCATCCGCGTTTGTGACTTTCAATTAGAAATAAAAAATAGTTTCGCTACAATAAAAACGTGACAACACGCTAAACCGAAAGATATCTTTGTCATTCTCTACTACAACTTGCGAGAAAACAAATACTTCCTCAACAACTGCTTCGACCGCTATAACACGAAACGTGTATGGTCATATTTTGGTATCTTTTAATTATATATATCAGTGCATGTCTTGGGTTCAAAGCTGGGCTGCACTGTCACAATATCGTCTTTGAATGAGGAAGTGGAATTACAGACACATGAAGTTTGAAGATACGATTCTGAAAGAGAGGGAGAATTTTCTTTCCGAACAACAGTCAGAAATTCTGCACCGCATGTAGTTACTTCCTAGAATTATGTCCCATTACACATCAGCAACTTTAATGAGTCAAATTTAATCCAACCTGCGAAAGTCGGCCAAAAGGAGGGTGCAAGAATAAGTACCTACAAAGGCACGATTGTCAAATAAAGCCAGTGCATGTTAGTGGCATGGAAATATATTCGTATGTAAATCTGCTAAGAAAGCATAAAGTTTTATGTGTTTATTGTCTAAGAAACTAGCAATTTATAATTTTTCAATTTGCGTTACACTGTACTAATTATGGCACTATTGCAGGTAATGGACTTGGTGGAAAACTGGGACCGGGGTCTGGAAACACGGCTGTTCATGTCAGCAGGAGTTCGATTGAGCGCTGAACCAACGAAGCCCCCTTCACGTCTCCCTCTTACAACACTCGTCTCAGTAGCAGAGCACGTTCGCATTCAAAGCCTGGAGACCGCTGCACGCCTGTGTCCTGAAACTCGCACTGTCACACTGTCTAATGCTTGGCTTCCTAGTACAGCTCTCTATAAGCTAATGGTGATGGAACACCTCACGTCACTTTCCCTCACTAACTGCGAAGGGCTAACATTAGATTTTCAAGAAGGAGTTCTACCTTTGCTTGCTGTGTGTGGAGAGAGACTTCAAAGTCTCATCCTTGCCAATTTCACGTATGTCGACATAGCAGGTAAGCTGAAAACATGTTATCATTGAAACTGCATATGCTGATATTCTCTATATAAGCAAATAAATGTGATAAAAACAGATGAGTTTCTGTCAATTACTCATAAAATCACATATTCTAATTAAATGCGGTGGCAAAAACTGAAAGTCCTACATTGATTATGCATTGGACACAATCCTGACCAGATCCAGCCAGTTCACATTTGCAAAGAGTGGGTGCCATGAGACCATGAAAAGTTCCACATTTTGCACAACTTTCCATTTCCTAAAGGTTCGTCTTACATCACAAATATACTCATTAAGTCATAAAAGTACAGCCTAGAAATCTTCGATGTAAAGTTGTTAAGACGGCACGAATGTCCTTTTCTCACATTTTCGTTTCATTTATTCTTGGGCAGCTTACCGCAAACATATTTTCCACTTATAAAATGTATTTATTAAATGGAAAAATCTCTGAGTTCTATAACTATTACCAACGTCCTTCGAGTCACATCCTTTGGTAAGAGAAAAATCTTAGCTGCCCAATCAGTCAAACTTTTTAAAGTATACCCTACTGGGTTAAATGTGAACTGGGATAGCACAGCCGGTATAGCGACAAGCTACTGGCTGGATGACCGAGGGGACAGAATTCGAGTCTCGGTAGGGTCAAGAATTTTCTCTTCTCCATGTCACTCAGACTGTCTCCGGGGTCTACCCAACCTCCTATCCAATGGGTTCCGGGGGCTCTTTCCCCGGGGGTAAAACGGCGGGGGCGTGAAGCTGGCCACTCACCTCCAACTAGTGCCGACGTCAAGATATCGTGGGTCTATACATCCACTCCTCTATACGCTTTCACGGCATAGTGTTTACTTAGCTATGCACAGGGACAACTTTAACTTTTACTGGGTTAAATGCTATGTAATCTGAAGGAGGCCTACGTTTCAAAGGAACACATCACTTCAATATTCAGGGACGAAGAATAAGCCAAACAAGAAACCAGCAAGAAGCAAGTTACTTATTTCTTGCTTTGCTTAATTTTTGGCCCTGAAGAAGGAAGTGATATTTTTCTTTGAAACATTGCGCTTCTTCTGAATCAAACAGAGTTACAACTCAGAAGACTCTCTCTTTTGCAAGATTCTATTTCTAACATATGATGGGAACTAAAACTGCCATGCAGGAAGAGACCACCTATCTCTTGCCAGTTCCTTGCTTGGCTGATTCTTCAAACCTGAATATGGGGATGTTATGTTCCTCAGAAATAAGCTTCTTCCAAATTTCATGATGTTACTGCCCAGAAGACCATACTCTTCATTGCCACCACTGTGACAACCTCAAATCCAGTACAGTCCAAATTTCTTTACTGACATCACTGAGGTCAAATTAACAAATGTTTCTGCTACTTATTTTCATTCTGATCAAACTTAAAATAGGTTTTATTTTCTTCTAGTTTCAACTGGAAGACTTAAAAAAAAAAGACATGCTTGAGTGCCAGTTCATGTAGGTTACAGGAAGGAAAGTGTCAAACTAAAACAATGTATCCAAAAAATAATGGCGAGGTTTCAGGGTCTCTGGCAGAAGTCACTGAATATGAAAGCTGAGTAACTGTTGCCAGGCAGGGCCTAGTGAAGACTGAGAAAATATAGTGCACATTACAGTGAATAGTAAAGTGTGGGAACTAGTGAAACTGTTGTAGTTATTTGTCGTTATGAGTTATAAGGCTCCAATAAATCCAATTACCAATCCAAATCCTGTGTTTAGCCACTTAACACATGATAATATATGTGTACAACTGATGATGGCCTTGTGTGACCGAAACATGTTGTAAATTTACATGAAACCATGGACTAAGTGAAGTTTCACTGAAGATTGCATTGCATATATGTATCATATACTAATATTTGGTGAGGAGTACAAATTATGAAACTCCTTGATGTGATATATTAGTAGTATTTTATTTTATGCTTTCAGAAGCACAAAACGCAAAACAGCTGGATACTCTGAAAAATGATTTGGAATATTTCTCACTCAGAACCCGGAACACTTCCAGAAAAACACTATTTATTCTTTAATACAGCCATATGCCAGGCCAAAAGTGAAATGAGGAATCAATTTTACATACTGTGCTGGTTCATCATGCCAGCTACACAGCTCAGCATTGGGTAGAATGATAACTTGCAGTAATAAATATGAGAACTGCTTTGGTGCCAGTCACAGGAAGTCCCATATTAACTTCCTGTGACAAAACCTGTTTCTCCATGTTAAGAAGCCAGATATACAGCACAACCTACAAAGCACACATACAATTTTAATAATATTTAATAAAGACATTTATTTTCTAGGCATAGGAAGGGCATGTCTCGACCTGCAGAATCTAGCCTTCTCAAATATTGCCGAATATGAACCTGTAGGACAACCATGTGATGAATGGTTCAACCAGCTTCATGCTCTAGAATTATGGTCAGATCCTCATGCAGATCTTAGTCCCTACATGATACGACAACTTCTGCTTTTCAGCCCAAACATGACAAATATGCTGTTCAAAGGATGTGAAATACTTTCTGATAAGCTGATGACAAGCATATGGGAGGTATGTATTAATTTCTTTTTAATCCTGCCAAAAAATTGTTTCCAAGAGAGGTAGAGACCCATATTTTGTATGAACTGGAAGGTTTTATATAAAATACTTAAATTTATTACAGAAGAAACAAGAAGGTCTGGGAAGAACCAATTGCCCACTTTCCTTTCACTGTAATATGAGAATCTGATAAGACAAGTAGAAAGAAAACTTTAGTATGTATGCATAATAAAGTCAATAAAATAATAAAATTTGAGAGGTTGCAGTGTTGATACTACTGATGGGAGTGACTTCTGAAGTATACTGTTGAGATGGCCTCAGATAGCATGATACACATACACACAAACACACCGACAGAAAGGTGCTCTCGTAAACACGCTTTTATTTTTTTGAAATGAGGAAAAAATGCGATAAAAAATGTAAATATATTTTGAATCTCATCTTCATTCTGTTTAGGATACATTAACTATCACGGCAATAGCTGTTCCTATTTCTCACTTCATCTTCCAGTTACCTTTACAAAATTACCCTAACTTCTTCTATGTGTATGTCAACTTGCCTTGAGCAGATCACATTTTAATGTTTGAATATCATAGTATGCTGCACTATTTTAGATAAGAAATAGACAACAATTAAAGTATATATTTAAGAACACATAGCCACAGAAATTATGTACTATATGTATTGATTTTCTCTGTAAGAAAGTGCTTACATCCAAAATATTTAAAAAATAATAAGTATAAAAAGTTCAGGATTTCAAATCACACAGAACAGCCCTTATGTGCCACCCACCTACAAACCTATCACTGTTTACTGGTGGCTGCTGTGCTGTGTGTAAAGTAACTGGAGTGAGAAGCTGACAGTTCACTTAGTACTGATATCTCAAATGAGTGAAATCTTACATATGTGACCTCTACATCATCTTTATTTCCAAGTCCTCAGGTCCAGAGGTATCTTTACATTTTAAATATACGTGTAATATGCAGTTTTGAATGTATGGCCGATTAATTCTGCAACACATTTATTTTGGGTCTCACATAACTGCACAATTAATAATATTTTTTTATTGCTAGTGGGGTGGGACTAAGTCCCTTGTACTGCGGCCACTTCTGGCCTATTTTACCAGCCCAAGATGACAGGTGAGGGTGACTGTGGGCAATTGGTGGAATGAAGATTGGCAGGGGAAACCGAAGTACTCAGAGAAAACCTGCCCCAGCGTCACTTTGTCCACCACAAAACCCACTTGACCAGACCCAGGATCGAACCCGGGCCACCGTGGTGGGAAGCCAGTGACTAACCGCTTGAGCTATGGCATGGCCATTAATAATATTACAAATATTAAGTGTACCTACCATTGTACTGAAAGTGAGTAGAGTTAGCAAGTGTTCAGAGATAGTTGGTGAAAGAATTGGAAGCTATAATACTGAAGCTATCTTTGAATTTTTTAAAATAAGACATTGAGATTTGGAAATTACAACTATTGGACTTGGTACTAAGTCAGAGGTTCAGAGCTTAAGTGAGTTATAATTCTATGGCATAATAAAGCTCTACACATCTGCTTTAATTCTAGGTGAATCCAATGCCAAAGCTCTCTCATTTGACACTGGACCACTGCCACACAATCACAGGAAAAGTCCTGCAACATGTGCTGAATGCTGATAATGAGTTGACTGTACTGAGAGTCTGGAGTTGTCTTAATATCACCAAATGTATCCATACTGAGTTAGTACATCACATTAAGAATGAGAATTTGGATGTGTACTTTGAGTGGTTTGAATATGATGATTAGAAAATTTTTCAGTTGTGCTCAAATCACTTCAACAGATCTGAGTTTGAGTGTTCTCATTTTGGAAAACAGAACACAACACTTAATCCTGAACTGGGATTTGTGGCTCTCATCACAATTAACATTAACATTATAGTCTTCTGAGCATGATGTTACAATAGGCTGGTGCATAGTTACCAACATTTCAGGAAATGTGCTGCCTCCATCTTAAAGAAAATATTTTAATTGAAGACACTTTCAGTATGGCTTGTTTTCCACAAATATGTGACACTTTTGTACAAATGTGTAAAATGCAATTATTGTAAAGCGAGTTTTATCTGCTGAGAAATATATTTTCATGTAGTACAAAGAAAAATATCTGATCTCCTAATAATGTTCAATTGAAATATAACTGATCCTGAATAAAATAAATTAGAATTACTTAAGAGCTGCCAGTGCAAATGTCATTTCTTAGAAATCTTCACATGAACGAATGTGATGAGCTTCGTAATATAAACAGTATACGCTACAAATGGTTATTTTTTACATCTGTAAAAAATTTCATCTGACAATCTTATAACAAGCATTAAACACAGACAGCAAACAATATGTATTTTTTATAATTTCTTTCTTTATCTGAGAATTCTATGTGAAATCAATACAATTTCCAAATCAGCTTCTTCAAATTGCAGTGAAATTTGGTGAAGATGTAGACTTATAGAAGCAAGTGAGAATAACATATTCTAGCCTAGCATTTTTCCTGTGACATGGATTCAAAACTAAAATATTGTCTTTTTTTAACTAAAGAGCTATCAATTTTGTCTGGAATTGTACATAATAGACTGATTTTATACTGGTCAGAAACAGATTCTTTTCCATTTCTCCATATAGTGAACAGTCTCCAAATGTAATTCCTCACTGGAAATTACATTTTACTAGCTTTCAAATGAGCTCCAAATATGCTCTATAGATAAGTTAGAGTTACAGCAACATTTTCAAGCTGTTTTAGAGGAAGAAGTCAAAGTTTCTGAACTTGAATTCATGCTACAGAGATATTACAAGGTGTACAAGGGCAACATTTCTTAATTTTCACTGACTTCTATACAGTTTGCATGTTACGGAATTCACTGAATTTTAAGGACTGGGATGAAGTCATTTTCATGTGATGACTCGACATGGAATAAGTCTTCTGGGCAATGTTTGCATCTGTCCTGTGATACAACAGACAGTACAATTTCTGGGCTCTTTCTTCACATCTGCACATGGTATTTCGTCCAATGACAAGTTTTTTAATATTCATAGCTAACAGTACAAATGTTGCACAACTTTCTTGCATCTGCACATGATGACAAGCATTTAACACTTTAAATGCTGAGCGGCCATTCTATAGGCCGCACTGGCATATGCGAAAATTGCTGCGCTGCCATTCTGTAGGCCGCAGTGTCCAGCAGTTTCTAAACGTGTGTAATTTCTTACTGTGACTTCAGATGTCGTAGCATTATATACCACCATGTAGATCGATGTTTGAAGTCCAAGAATCTCGAGTTTGATGTAAATTGCATTAAAAATCGACCTTCTATGATTTTTTCCCCCAATCGATCACAGGATAGGGCAATGAGCCTCTGAAGGTTTTTATTTCATTGTATTTGTACCTTTGGCCTACAGATGGTACTTGTATGCCCTTCATCTAGAAGAATGATGCTTCAGTTTCGATTCTGTTCCAGTCTCGAGACCCTCGAGACGATTCTATCGCAACAAATTTCCAGTAAGTTTCTCCACATTTTCCGCGTGAGGTATTGTGTGTGCATTGTGTGCGTTTTCTTATTTACAATGGCTAAGAGACAAGTGAGAGATGATGACATCCATGGTTTGTTGGAAGAAAATATTCTTAGTGATGTTGAGTTGTCTGATAGCGACGACATCTCCTCCAACACCAGCAAGAGTGATTTTATTCCACCAACACCCAGCCCTCAGCCAAAATGGAGGTGCACTTCACCTGCGCACATCAGTGAAACAAGTGACAGTGACCTTGATGACGCAGTGGAAAGCATTCCTGTCTACATGTGTGACTGGGAGGAGGTTGCTGAGAACAGCGATATTCAACCAGAAGTCCCTTTCTGTTATAACGAAATGCAAGGACCAAAATATATCCCACCCATACCTATGACACCAATTCAGTACTTTTATCTATTTTTCACCACATCACTGCTAAATTCCATAGTTACCCAAACAAATAATTATGCAAGAACTTTCCTTCAGACCCAGAAAAATATTTCTCCTCATTCCCAGGTACTAAAATGGAAAGACATTACACTCACAGAATTGAAAGGTTTCATTGCCTGCCTTCTCAATATGGCAATCAAAAGACAGCCAACCATTTCTTCATATTGGTCTACAAGCCCAAGCCAAAATGTTCCTTGGTTCCGTAACATGTTTTCCCGCGACCGTTTCCAGCTCATCCTGAAATTTTTCCATCTGGTGGATAATAAGAACTTGGCAGGCCCTAGACAACCCGGATATGACCCTTGCGCTAAATTCCAACCCTTGATTGACCAAGCAAATTCACTTTTCCATTATGTGCCACACCAACAACTTAGTGTTGACGAAAGTTTAGTTGGCACCACAAATCATACACAATTGATGCAATATTTGCCTAATAAACACCATCACCGTTGGGGAATAAGACTGTGGATGTTATGTGACTCAGTGTCGAAGTATTGTGTATCTTTTTTTTTGTATATCGGGGGGGCCAAGAATGGTGAAAACACATCAGAAAGAAAAAAAATATGGATTAGCTTACACGGTTGTAATGAAACTTTTGAATATGGGAAATTATCTTTTGTAAAGGATATCACATTTTCATGGACAATTTTTTTATGAGCATCCCACTTGCAAAAGAACTTTACAAACTCCAGACTTTCATAACCGGCACAATAAGAAGAAACAGAAAATGGTTGCCTGCAGCATTCGGAAATAAATTTCAGGTCGGTCAAACACAGTATTTCTGCAGTGGCCCAATTCTGTCTGTAGGATACCACGAAAAAAATTCTCAACGTTTCCCAGTTTTGCTCCTTTCCACACATGGTCAAGCTACTGAAAGAGAATACAGCCGAGTTTGTCGTGGTAATCAAAAAACTGTGAAAACCCCCCAAATTATTCAGTCCTACAACAAATTCATGGGTGGTATTGATACTTCAGACATGATGTTGTATTCCAACATCGATGAACGTCGTACGATAAAATACTGGAAGAAAGTGTGCTTCAATATTTTTTCTTGAATGGTACTCAATTTGTACATATTTTTTATGGAAAATATTCCAACTGGTTCGAAACCAATGTCTCGGCTTGATTTCTACATCAAAATTATAGAATCTCTAGGTGAAGAGTGGATGCAGGAGAAAAGAAATGTACCTACAGCTGGACCATCAGATGCAAGGGAAAATAAGGAGAAATTTTTGAGAAAGTTGCCCCCAGGAAAACAAAAGGATTTTTGTGTTTGCAACAGAAGGACAAGACTCGGGAAAGGGCAGAGAAGAAGATCTTGCACAATATGTGCAACATGTGAGAAGGGCCTTCATGGTCAATGCTTCCCTGAACATATATGTACCAGTGGTACATAGTTCACTTATGCTGTTTCACTGATTCTACATGCAGAGAGAGTGTGAAGTGCAGTCTTTTAAAAATGTTGATACTATGAATAAACTATTGGGTGTTTAATTTTCAAATTTTAACATCATATATAAAATGAACAGAGCTATCAGACAACAGCAATAGATTGTTATTTTTTCATTTATTTCATGTTTATATTATTCTTCAAAGTCAAGTTTTCGTTTTCTTTCTAACAAAAAGTATAAAAAATATTTTTTATTTTCATAATGTGCTCTGATAGAAACAAAATCCTTCCAGCATAACAATATACATTCATCTGGAAACAGCAGGGAATTTTTTCAGTTTTCTGACTCCAAAAATTGGGTGAGTAGAATTTATTATAAATATGCATGTAATATTATTTAAATGACATTTAAATGGCATAGCACTTTTCGCGTATCTCTCCACGACGACGTTAGCACTCAAAAGGTTAATACACACAACAAATAGCCCAATTAATGATGGATAATGTTCACACAAGGATGCACCTGTCACATCCTGTAACAAGTTTTGTATTACACGTGGTAATGTGTAAAAATGTGTACAGTAATTTTTCACATTTTCAATAGAAGACAGCTATTTTGTACTGAAAGAATGTCCTCCTTTACCCAGAACTATCTGACAGGTTTTGCAGGTAAACTCTGAATTCCATACTTTTATTTCTATTTTTACATCTCTCAGCTCTCCAATTTTTGTAGGAGATGGAAATGTATGAGAAATAAGATAGGGATATTTTAAACAGAAGAGGGTATACACAGAGACACTAGATATATGATATACCTAGACATGATTTTGATGAAGTATGAGAAATACATTTTCACTTTCACTCAACATAGTCTCCCTTGAGGTCGATGCACTGCTTCAACTCTGTAGACAAAGATGATACCACTGACCAATGAAAGCCTTTGGCTTGCTCTTCAAACTTCCCCAAAACAGAAACCTTCAAATTCATCATCGCTTAGAAACCAACATCCACACAAATGTTTTTTCAACTTCAGAAACTCTAACAGTCTTTGGAGGTCAGGTCTGGACTCTACAGTAATTGGTTTAATTATGAAAGCTACAATCCCTTAAGGGAGCCTCAACATCTCACAACCCTATGGGCCTCTACAGCCTGTTACAGGGACAGCTTATCTTAGAATGTATTTCAAATGGAAATACGTCATGCCACATCTAGCAGTTATACATTTCTTACACTGGTTACTATAAAACATACGAAGGTTACACAGGTACTCACTGTCGTCACGATTCCAATGCTTTTCCTATGCATGAAATTGTCTTAGACCTGAATCTATCCATTTGACAGCAAAGTACATTTTACCTGGGGTTGTTTCTTCAAAAACATTTTTTGTCTGCATTATTTCTCCTACGACACAGTTTGGGAGAAACTCAGTGAGATGGATAGATAGTTGAACATTTGTCACTTATATTGCCCATACAGATGGATGGTTTAAATTTAATAATCCCAAGCAACAATGTACAACTTATGAATCAGCACCGATGAAATGTTTTGAGAAAGTGTTGCTTGTACATAAACATAGTGGAAAATTATTTTAAATTTGTGACCTTCTTGGATTCATGATCAACAAAATTATAGGCTGTTTTACATGGAGTGCATATCCACACTAAAACATCTAAGCCATTTAAGCAGAAGAAAAAGAAATGTAAATAAATACTGAAAATTGTTATGTTCAAGTTCAATGATATTGTAAGATTTGAGGCTTTCACGGTGGTGACTATGAAGAAAGCAGTCTTTTGGGATTTGGCACCATGTATAAGTGGTGTTAACCGACGTTTCGGAGGAACGTATCTTCGCTTGCAGAATTCTTATATTTTCTTCTACCCTGAAGATGGAGGCGAAGAGCGAAGAGACCGTGAGAACCAGTAAAAGCTTTTACCGGTTCTCATGGTCTCTTTGCTTGCAGAATTCTTATATTTTCTTCTACCCTGAAGATGGAGGCGATACGT